TTTTTTAGTTTATCTCTAATATTTTTCTCTGGGAAGTTTGTGGGCACCATAGTTCCTATTTTCCTCACCCACTCCTCTTCTCTTACCCCATCTGATGCTAATTTTGTTCCCACTGTTTGTCCTCAAGGTCTCCATTTTGTCCTTGACCCTTATTAGATAGATCTTGGGCTGGAGTGAGTAACAGACTCCAGAGCTCTTCATAGTGGTTATAGTGTATGACTGGATTAATTAATGGGAAAAGCAAATTTGATTAAAAACAATGTTGATTTGAGGGAAGATTAAAATTTAGGACTGAAATATTGACACAAGGGGAAGGAATGGTATTTGATTCCCTTTTTAATTCTTTTAATACTTACTGCTCCACTGAAGTTCTCTTTTTTGTACCATTTTTTTGTATTTTATATGTTTCTAGGAATGTTTCCATTTCATCAATGTTTTCAAATTTTTTGGTGTATGGTTGTTCATAATAGTTTTTATTATTATTTTTAAATGTCTGCTGTCTCCTTTTTTAGTTTCCCTTTTCATTATTGAAGTTTATTAATATGCATCTTTCCCCCTTTTTCTCTTGCTTAATCTTACTATGAATATGTTTATTTTATTATATTAATCTTTTCAAAGAACCAGCATTTGGTTTTGCTAATCTTCTCTAACCTTTATTATTTCTTTTCTCCTTTTTTTGTCAGGATGTGGAGGTGGGTGGATACTCTCTGTTGTTCTAAGTTCAAGTTCTTGAGTTGAATGTATAGTCATTAAAAAAACTTATTATGGCAACTTTCATATATTTTATATATTATTTTATACGATATATAAAATAGATAACAATATATAAAATATTATGTGCGTATATGTGTATATAGACACGTAATTTTTATATACACATGTATATGTGTATATATACATAATATTTTATATATACGTATACACACACAGCTTTAGCAATTACAGTCTGGACAATCTACTCTCCTCTCTATCCTGTTCACGTCTCTCTTCCCTCAGATTGATTTGCAGCAAACCTTATATACCGTATCATCTAACCTAAAAATATCTACACATTTCCAAATATAGGGGTTCTTTTTTGAAATGTAACTACAATGCCATTATCCCTCCTAAATGGTTAAAAACTGAGTGATATCTCTTCTTTGTATTTTATTTTATTTCATCTTAGAAAGGACACATAACATGAGATCTGCCCTATTAGTAAATGTATTAATGCTCAATACAGTATGGTTAACTGTGGGTACAGTGTTGTGTGGCAGAGCTCTAGCACTCATGCGTTATATGTAACTGAAACCTTATTTTTGTTTAACAGTAATTCCCATTTTTCCTCTCCCCCTGGCCCTGGCCACCACCATTCTACTCTCTGCTTCTGTGAATTTGACTATGTTACATACTTCATGTAATGGAATCATGCAGTATCAAATGACTTGCTAGGTCCCACTTATTTTGCTTTTGCTGCATGTGCTTTGACACCATATCCATGAAATAATTGCCAAGACAAATGTCATGAAGTTTTCTTTTAGGAGTTTTATAGTTTTAGCTGTTACATTGAAGTCTTCAATCAATTGTGAGTTGATTTGGTGGATATCCAGTTTTCCCAGCACCATTTATTGAAGATACCGCCCTTTGCTCATTGTGTATTCTTGGCACCCTTGTTGAAGACCAGCTGATCAAATGTGCATGGGTTTACTTTATTTTATTTATTTTTTATTGTGTTTAATTGGTCTATATGTCTGTATTTATGAAAATACCATACTGTTTTAATTACTGTTGCTTTGTAATATATTTTAAAATCAGCATCTGTGATGTCTTCAGTTTTGTTCTCTTTCTTAAAATTGTTTTGGCTTTACAGAGTCTTTTGAGGTTTCATATGAATTTTAGAATTGCTTTTTCTGTTTCTGCAAAAAATGCTATAGAAATTTTGATAAGTATTATATTGAATCCAGATTACTTTGGGTAGTAAGAACATTTAACAATATTAAGTCTTCCAATCTACAAACACTGAATATCTTTCCCTTTATTTGTACCTTTAATTTTTTTTCGTCTATGTTTTGCAATTTTCAGTGTACAAGTGGTTTACCTCCTCGGTTAAGTTTATCCCTAAGCATTTTATTTTTTTTTGATGCTATTATACACGGGATTGTTTTCTTAATTTCTTTTTCTGATAGTTCATTGTTAGTGTGTAGGAATGTAACTGATTCTTTTGTGTGTAGATTTCGTACCCTGCAACTTTACCAAATCATTTATTAGTTCTAAGAGTTCCTGGGTGGAATCTTTAGGGTTTTCTACATTTAAGATCATGCCATCTGTAAACGAAGATAGTTTGACATCTTTTTCTATTTGGATGCCTTTACTTTTTTTTCTTGCCTAATTAGTGTGGCTGGAACTGTGGCAAGGGTGAGAAAAGGGTGGCATCTTTGTCTTGTTCCTGATATAGGAAGAAAAGCTTTCCATGTTTCACCATTCAGTATGATGTGGTAGGCCTTTATATATGACCTTTATTGTGTTGATATATGATATAATTTCCTTTTATTCCTTAGTTTGTTGAGAGTTTTTATCATGAAAGGATGTTGAAGTTTATCAAGTGCTTTTTCTGCATCTATTTAGATAATCATGTGATTTTCACTGTTCATTCTGTTAATATGGCATATCGCATTGATTGAATTCCATATCCCTTGCAGCCTAGGAAAAAATCCCCACTTGGTCAGGTGTATGATATTTTTTGATTTGTGCTTTTGAATTCATTGAGGATTTTTGTATCTATATTCATTGAGAATATTAACTGGTAGTTTTCTTTTTTGTAGTCTTTTTCTTTTTGGTATTAGGGTAATGCTAGCCTCATAAAATAAGTTTTGAATTATTCTCTTTTCTTCAATTTTTTGAACAGACTTTGAGAAAGATAGTTGTTAATTCTTGAAATGTCTGATAGAATTAATCAGTGTAGCAATCTGGTCCTAGGTTTTTCTCTGTTGGGAGATATTAGATGACTGATTCAATCTCCTTTTAAATTGTAAATTTGTTCAGATTTGCTATTTCTATATAATTCAGTCTGGGGAGATCGTATGTTTCTAGGAATTTATTCATTTCTTCTAGGTTATCCAATTTGTTGATGTATAATTATTCATAGTAATCTCATGATTTTTTTTTTATGTCATCAAAACTGAGTGATGTCTTAATATTTAATTTCCCTAGTCTAAGGATTATTTTTACAGTTCATTTGTTTGAATCAGTATTGAAAAATATTCCCTACATTGCAATTTCTGAGATGTCTTTTAAGTTACTTTTGATCTACATATTCCCTCTCAATTATTTTCTTGCTATACATTTGGTGAAGAAATTGCATAGCTCCTGTACTTTAACTTGCCCTGCAAGTTAATTTGTTTCATTTTTGCTTTCAAATTTTGGAGATTAGTTTTTTAATTTAATTTTCTTTTAATTATGAAAATTAATAGTTACAAAGTCAATTTTATAAAACAAGATATATTCAGATAATTTCAACTTTTATCCCTGTTTGCTCCACCTCATTAGTTTTCCCTCCTTATAATTAAACATTTAAAAATGTTCTTGTTTATTCTTCCATTTAAAAACAATAAATAAGTACTCTGTGGCTTTTGCTGATTGCATCACTGTGGTGTCGTTTAATATGTCCCTCTGTGCCCTTCAATTCCTGTAAATAGGTAGATAGATCTAGGACATGCATTCTCAACAGGGGTGATATCACCCTCAGAGAAGTGAAAATTGGCTCTTTGGAAGTTGAACAAATCTTACTCTTTATCTATCTCTCTCAAATGTTAATATATATTGTTTTCATAACCACTAACATTAAATTAGAGAATTTCCCATGTGATTTCATTTTTTAAAAGAAATATTCTATTTAATGTTTTCAAATATATAAATGTTTAAGCTCCATTTCATTTTTATATAGTGAACATAATATTAAAAATTTGACTTTTATTGCTGATTCCTTTTTTCTTAACATAATCATCTATTTTTGTGAATCTTTTGTAAATGCCTTAGTTTGTCGGGTATGGGTTTCTCTTTCTGTTTGTGTGTGTGTGTGTGTGTGTGTGTGTGTGTGTGTGTGTGTGTGTGAGAACCAACATATTCATAATATTGTTCAAATTCTTGATGTGTGTTTATTTTTTATCTCTTTCATTTATCTATTTCTGAGATGGGTGTGTTAAAATCTCAAATTATTATAATTCATTTATGTATTTCTTTCTGTACTTATAGCACTTGCTGTTTGAAATTTTTCAAGCACCATTCTTAGATGCAATGATGTTAATCGGGCTATATTATCTTGTTCTATTGTTACTTTTACCAGTATGTAATATTCCTTTGTATCGTTTTTTACCTTCCTTATGTTTTGTCAGATATTAATTGCTTTCTTCTGTTTCATTTGCCTAATAATTTAAAAAATCTTTTCATATTCAACCTTTAAAATTTTTCTAAGTTGTTTTGTCTCAAGAGAATCTTGTATATAATGTATTACTGACTTTGTTTTTTTTTGGCCATTCTGAGACTTGTGTCTGTTAATTGGTAAATTATACCCATTGATATTTATTGCTATTACTAATATAGTAGGACTTATTTTTGACACCTAATTTCATATTTTACATTTGCTGTACTTTTTATTTCTTTTTTCCTCTCTCCCATTTTCAATTAAACACATTGTTTCTTCTACTGATATAAAAATTTTTATTTCTACTTTCGTTGTTGCTATACAATCTATTCTCAGTATAGCATAGGAGGAATTCTTTCAAAACTTAAGTAAAACATGCCAGTTCTGCACTCTAAAACTTCCAATGCCTTTCCTATTCACTCAGATAAAAACCAGTCATTAATTTGTTTGAGTGTGTAGTACTTGGTTAAATATTACACTTATACAACCTGATCCCATAATAATTAATCAACCTCATCTCCTACACCTCTCCCTCTTGCCCATCAAATTCTTGCAACTGTGCTTTGCTTGCTTTCTTCAAATGCTTTAGGCATCTTGTAGCATCTAACAGCATCTTTACACTTGCTGTTATCTCTGCTTGAATGTTTCTCCCTTATATATCACTTGACATATTCCCTCACCTTTTTCAGGTCCCTGCTCAGATATCATCTTTTCAATGAGGTTTCTCCGATTATTTTGTTTTCCACATGACATAGACTATCTTTTTTTTTTTTTCCATTGCAGTTTTCACCACCGGATATTCTATCAATTTATTGCATCTCTTTCCCACAAGAAAATAAATCTCCATGCAGGTAAGGACATTGTTTTGTTTCCTGTGGGCTCTCCAGAGACTAGAACAGTGCCTGAAACATTACAGGTACCAAATAAAATATATATTATGCAAAAAAAGAATGAATTTGGAAGATTTGCATGCCAGAATCTTCAGGTCTTTAAGGTCTGCAGCTAGATGTAAGAATTAATGTGAGTTTGGATGTCAACCATGCCATGTGCCCCTAGGTGGTCTGTAGTATCTATGATCTTATATGATAAGATGAGTTGCACTTTTTTTTCCTCAGTGTAGTAGAATTTTGAAAACTTGGTTTTCTGGAAATATTTGTATGGCAAATCGTAATTATTCTAAAAAGATATTCTTGGTAACAGGAGAGGAACAAGATCAATGTAAAGTAAAGAGGATCAACTCTGCAGTCCACTTTCAGGATAGTTAATTATACCATGAGTTAATTATACCATGAGTTAATTAGATCCATCTTAAATAAAGGGAAGTCTTGTTAAGCCAAGTTATAAAAGCATTGGGTTGGGTTTGTTTTTGACAACATGGAAGCAATGATTGAATTCCTGTAGCCCTTTTAGAATGTATTAAAGCTTGGATCTGGTAAAATGCTTTATAGATATTTATAAGTCAGATAGGCACATGCAGTGGAAAGAATATGAGCTTTGCAATTAGATTTGGATCCCAATCTTAGCAACACTACTTCCTGTTTATCACTGAACAATGAATTTGAACTTTCTGCATGTCACTTTTCTCATCTGTATCGTAGGGAAACTGCCACAATGGTAATGTGAAGGCCAAAAGTGAATGTATGCAAAAGCACTTAGTATGGTACTAGACATATAGTATCTAATGATAATAGTTAATATTTAGTGAGGGCTTATGTCTGTATGTTTACTTGTTTATTTCTCTTATCGACCCATTCCACAGGTAAGGAAACTGAGGTATAGTTAAGTAATTTACTCAAGTTCACAGAGGTAATAAGTGTTAGTGTTGAGTTTCCTGAATCCGGAGCCTATATCCTTAACTATTATACAATAATGCTTCTTGCTCAGAATAAATGCTAGCTTCCTTGACTTCTCTCTCTTCCTCCACCTGAAAACTATTAAATTAATAGAAGCAGATTAAGTACTATGTTGTTTCCCCTTAATATTGTTGTAGATGTCTGGCATAGTGCTTGTCTGTTAACTAACATGCCAATAAACTAAGGAGAGAACATAAGAAGGTGGTCAGGGTGAGGTCAGGAGAGAGGCAGGAGCCACAGTTCTCCTTTGTCTTTTGTTGTGAGCACAGGGTCTAGGATCTAAATTTCCTTTCTGATAGTCACTAGCCTAAAACATATATAGTTTGGCTAACTTGAAATCTTGGCATATTTTTAAACAGTAAAGAAATAGCTTCCTTTCATTGAAAGGATTTGGATGAAGAGAGCTTAACTGTCTGCCCTCCGATAATATCATGTATCATTTAGTGGAAATATGGAATGGTTAATTTTTAATTAGTCCCCATTGTTTAGCGAGCTGTTAAGTAGAATGGTTAGTGGTTAATGCTACTTGTTCTTTCCTGCGCCTTTAGTAGCTTTCCTTTCAAATTAACTCTCAGACTTGTTGGAAATATTAGATCTAATGTTTTTATTTTACCATTTTCATTACCAGAGCATATTTTCTAATTTCTTTCACAATTATTGTTTTCATTTTCGAATGTTTTGAGTCAGTTTAATAAAAACCTAAGCTAGATTGCACTTGTATATGGGCTGTGGCATTTTAACTAGATGGGGCAATGAGTTGATTTTCAGTAAAATGTTAGGCCTTTTATAGAGCCTGCAATGTTCGGTTACCTTAGTCCTCTGGAGAGATTAGATTTTCCCAACAGATAACATTTGTGCTTGGCATTGGGGAAGTGAATGCATTTGGAAATGAATTTCTTTTTATGCTTATTGCCCAGTTATTTCTTTATTGTCTTACAGGCTCGGATCTGATTTTACTGATATTATATAAGTTCCTCTAAGGGCAGAATAAACAATAAAAATTTTATTTACTTGGTTATTACTCAGATGACCAGAGCTTAGAAGACTTAAATTAGGATAAAGACAGATTTCAAAATATGGATTCTGTTAAGTCATTACTATCCACAATTAAGTGTTCTGGGGTTTCTGATAGTTTGGTTTTAGAATACAAGCCTTCCACATGAAAAGGCAAGAAGAAATGAAGACCCTCCAATTATGTTTCAATTCATTCAACTAATATCACTGTGAATAAAATAGACAAGAGATAATGAAAAACAAAACAAAATAAAACAAAACACCCAAACCAGCTATTGCGAGCTAAGAATTGCTACTAATTCCTGCTCTTGAGTCCTAAGTAGAAAATGGCATTAATATTGTTCATTAAGTACATGTCTATATGTTTTCATTGTGTTTAGAAAATCTTGGATTGCCAAAACCTATTTCCCATAGAACCATAAGGACAAGCTAATGAACTGGCTTGGTAATGGATGGAAGAAAAAAAAATGAGTACAGAGATTCTAGGGGCTGCTAAGACGCTGATGATTATTATCAGATGCAAGAAAGCCATCTTTCCTCCATTTCTTTAGGTAATGAGTGGAAGTCATGAGTGGGTACAATGAAGACAGAAACAGATGGAACAAGTAGATAAGTAGCCATTTACAAATATTTTCCATTTACAAATTAGCTGGACATGAAAAATGCATGATATGACTTATTAAATAAAGACATAGTGTCTTTCATGGGAAACAGATAAAATAATGCTAAATATGAATTAAAACTATGAGATGCATATTAATTTATTAATTTTTTATCAAATACATGAATAGAAATAGAAGTTAAACTAGTTTTGGACACTGAATTAATAACAACATATAGCTATTAAAAAAAAGAGACAGTTGATATCATGAAAAGGGTATTAGATTTAAAGTCTGTTTATTTGTGACCAGCCCAAATTCTTTCTCTTATTATCTCTGTTATCTTTGAAGAAGTTCCTAAACATACCTGAGTCTATATTTCCTCATATTAAAAATGTGGCTATAATAATACACACATCATCATCATCAGCATCATACTTATCTTATAGTGCTATTTAGCTATATATTAGATAAATTAATATAGAAGAAAACTCTTATATTAATGATCTTTAATAAATATCATTTCTCTTCTTTCTTCTTTTCACTTTTTATAATGCATAGCATTAGATTCATTCTGTAATGAAAATGGTATATCGATAAAGCTAGAATCTCAAACATGTTCTTGCCTACACTATAATTAGAAATTACATCTGAGGAAAAAAGCAATGAATTATGATGAATCATCTTGGTGCTATCATTGGTTTTAGTGTAATTGTTCGTTAAGCCTTTAAAATTATTAGACTTTGTTAATTAAAAAGCCTTTCCTGAAGTGCAATGAGGATGCTTACTCATGTCAATGATTTACAATGAGATCCTTTCTATTACAGATGTTACAGCTTCATTTGCGTAGTTGGGATAGTTAGCTGCCATATACATCATGTGCTCACTGTATCATGAAGTGGCTCCAACACATCACTGTAGATTAAAATGTGCTTTTGGAATCAGTATTAGGACCGGTAAAGAGAACAATGTTGGGCTATTTTTGTGTTAATTCTTGGCCACAAGCAAGATTAGTGTTGGAAGAGAAGAACACAGGTATCAAAATTACACATTTTTGATTTTACTTATTGGGCACATTATGATATCTTATTGCCCAGAGAGAGAAGAGAGGGTGATTAAGAGAGTCAATCTCTAGTTAAGGCAAATGCTGTGCTAAGAAAATGTTAGATAATTTTCTATGTTTTGGTGTAAAAACCATAACAGTTGATCTCCTAGCAATTTATCTGATTTTATCATTCAATGATGCTTTTAAGGGACTTCACACCCTCATTTATAATTTTTAATGAAAACTGCCATGGTAAATGGAGCAGTACATAGACCTACTATTGAGAACTTCTTATCTATCAAGGGCTATGAATCACAGAGTGGGGAAAGAAATCAAACTGGGGTCAAAAAAATTGAAAGCCATATATTTTGTTTTATATAGGAAAAATACAAAGGACGAAAATGCTTTTTTTAAAATTAACTTTATTGGGGTAACATTGGTTAATACAATCATAGCAGGTGTACATTATCATTTGACATCTGTATATTCTATTGTGTGTTCACCACCCAAAGTCCAGTTTCCTTCAGCTACCATATATTTGATCCTCTTTACCCACTTCACCCGCCCCCTACCCCCTATATTTGACCCCCTTTACCCTATCTATTTCCCCCCTCTTCCCCCACCCCACTAGTAACCACTGCTCTATAGCCCTCTGGTAACCACTAGACTATAGTCCATGTCCATGAGTCTCTGTTTGTTTGTCCTGCTCATTTGTTGCTTTTAGCTTTATATCCCACATATATGTGATATCATTTGATTTTCAGCTTTTTCTGTCTGGCTTATTTCACTTAGCATAATTATCTTGAGTTCTATCTATGTTGTCACAAATGGCAGTGTTTCATCTCTTCTTATGTCTGGGTAATATTCCATTGTATATATGTACCATAGCTTCTTTAGCCAATCACTATCATAGAGCACTTCTGTTACTTCCATGTCCTGACCACTGTGAATAGTGCTGCTATGAACATCAGTGTGCAAATATCTTTTTGGATATGGGTTTTCAGGTCTTTAGGGTAAATACCCAGTAGAGAGATTGCTGGATCATATGGTAGATCAATTCTTAGTTTTTTGAGAAACCTCCATCCTGTTTTCCATAGTGGCTGTACCAATTTGCAGTCCCACCAGCAGTGTATGAGGATTCCTTTTTCTCCACCTCCTCTCCAACATTTGTTATTGCTTGTCCCATTGGTTATAGACATTCTAACAGGTGTGAGATGGTATTTCATTGTGGTTTTGATTTGCAGTTCCCGAATAGCTAGTGATGTTGACTATCTTTCCATATATTTGTTGGTCTCTAAGGAGAAGTGTCTGTTCAGATCCTCTGTTCATTTTTTTGATTG